TTCTGTGGGAATGACTAGAGCCACCTATTCTCCAGTTCTCCAGGCATGCCCCCAGCACGGGCAACCTTCAGTACATGGGACCAACGAGGCCACTTTGGAGGCTGGTGAGCTGGTAGGACAGTAAGGTTTTAGGGCAGAGGCAAGCAGAGGCCATTTGAGAAAGGACACAAGGAGCCAGGCAGATGGTTAGGTTTAGACAGAGGCAGGCAGCTGGGCTGGCCTGGAGGAGAAGGGTAGAACCGCCAAGGCTGAGGCCACAGAGCTTCTGCTAGGGCTGGCTACACAGGCTCTTCTGGGTCAGTGCCAGGAGCCCTGGCTTTAATCTATGTGCAGGGGGACTCTGATCCGATTGTGTTTGAAAGGATGACCAGCTGTCATTGGACAGATGGAATGCAGGCACAAAATGGACATGCGAGAGGCAGTAGTCCTGGCCAGGGGCTGAGGAGGGCCAGGGTCTGCAGCAGTGACCACTGTGTGAGCAGCAGATGCATTGGGAAGTGAGGACAGGGAGTTAGAAGGACAGTCCTGACTTCCTGGTTCAAGTACTGGGGTGAAGGAGGGGCCCCCTGCTATTGTGTAAATGAAGCACGGGGTGAGGAGCCTCCCAGGACACTAACCAGTTAGGTTTGCATGAGACACACATCCCAGGCCCACGCAGCCTTGCAACAGTCCCACGTAATGCTGCCTTTGGCAGCTGTGGCAAGCAGCTTAGGCTAGAGTGGGCAATCTTACTTGTACAGAGTCACACAGTCTAGAAGGGACAGGGCCGGATCTTGAACCAAGTCTCACAGGTTCCAGAGATACCTCCCCCTTGCCTCTCATTTAGACACGACCTCTCCCTGTAGGTCTCACAGAGATCTACCTGCCCCTACCTCTATCTCTGGAAGGGCTTGGCGAAAGGCGTACACCACCACACCCAACCCATTCTTTCTCATCTTAGTGTTTCTTATCCCTATTTTATTTGTGTGTATATTTGTGCGTGTATGTGTGTGAGTGCACATGCTCGAGTGCACACACACAAGCTGCGTGAGCTCAAGTGAAAGGAGGGTTTGGATGCCTGTGCACGTAGGGTGGGAACAAGGTTTAAAGTTCAAATACATTCTGGGTTTGTTTTTTCCAAATGAGTTTCTCTATATAACCCTAGCTGTCTTAGAACTCATTCTATAGACCAGGCTGGCCTCAAACTCAAGAGATCCGCCTGGCTCTGCCTCCCAAGTGCTGGGATTAAAGGTGTGTGCAACCACTGTCAGTCAGCAAGGTTTTGTTTGGTTTTGAAACGGGCTCTCTCACTGGGACCTGGTGCTCACCATCTGGGCTAGGCTGGCTAACCAGCAGGCCCCATATATCCACCGAGCTCTGCCTCCTCAGTGCTGGGATTTTCAACCAGCACCATATGCCCTGCTTTTTACATGGCTTATGGGGATCAAACTCAGATTCTCATGATTGTGTGGCAAGTAGTTCGTAGATGGAGCAATGTCCTCAGTCCTGTCCCCAATTTTAGCACGTGGTAAAAAAGGCCTAGATGGGAAACCAAGGCCCAGGGTCTCGTGGTTTAATCAATGGCGGGCACAGACTCTGACCCCACATCTCTCCCTTCGTAGCCATCTTGGAACCAGAATTGGAGCTCAGCATCTGCGTGATTCATAAAACAGGATGCCATTGTGTAAAAACGCAAGGACTCCTCCCTGGCCCTTCTCGGATACTATTCGGTGCTCCTTGGCTCACTTTTTGGTGATCGTGTACATGGAGGGTATCACTGTGGGAGACTATAGCCAGGGAAAGCACAGTTAGGTCTCTGTCTAGAACAACGCTCAATGTCATAAGGGTGAGAGTCCTTGCAACACAACTGTTCCCCCAAAAGTGTAAAGGTGGGGAAACTGAAACTCAAGAGATGCTGGCCTGCTGTTGAGGCCACACTGCTCACAGCTGAAGCCATGGTGGCATTTGCTCCCCCCCCCTTTTTT